TGCTCCTTTATGTTGGATGTTTTGTGTCGTGGAAATGACCCTTTTCTTCAGGTGCGTCTACTTCAGCGCTTCGCTCGCGAAAGAGCTTGCATCAACAAACCTAATCGAGTGAGCTTCGCAAGAAAACACGAAAAAAGGGACGAAAAAGGGCATGAAAAAATGAGGTTCATATTTTTGGAAACTGGATTCGTTAATAAACGTTAGTAATGGTAGTTATCTCATCTCCGCACAAAAAACTTACAACATCCAATCAACTGCGAACAGCAGTGGCAATTCAGTTGTAGGCAATCCAACAGTGCTAAGTATGAGCAGGATAGAAACCAGACCAGCTGGCACTGAATTCAAACCGAGAGAAGCTATTGTGGCTGTGACGCTGAAAAATGAATGGAAAAGGAAAGTGGGCGAAAAACATAAAGACCGAATAAAGTAGCTAAATTCTATTCCACAAAATTGGGTGCTCTACGCGAACTGCACAAGTGGGACGATTCGGTTTCTTAGAGTCTTTTTCAGGGGTATGAAGGAGCGCTCTGCCTTGTGCCTGCTTTGCCTTGTGCGCTACTTGTGCTTTGTTTCTGCCTAGCAACCTGGTCAAAAATATAGATGTAGAAAAGAGAAAACATTGAGGCGGGTTTCTTCACACGAGGATTTCTCGATGGGATCGTTTGCTAAGTCACTAGACAGTTGGCATGTGTCGAGCTTTGCGACGAATCCCTGGCGAACCGCGCAATTCGAGCTATTCGAACTGAGCGATGTGCCAGCGCTTCAGCTGTGCTGTCAATCGCTGACGCATTATTAGAATCCAGGCACATCGCTCGTGCTCCTGGAATCGCACCATTCGCTAGTGATTGGTCGCAAAGCATGACATCTGACATCCGCTTTGGACCAGACCAGACAAACTGTTCCAGACAACGCATTTTGAAATTTTGGAGAACTGGAAAAAGCTGTGCACACATTTGAGAAATTCTGTAGTTTAGATGTGGTAATATATAGAATGTAACCCCCAACTTTGAATTTATTTAGCATACCTTATCGTGAATGATCTGATCAGCTCGCAATTGGACTTGGTTGATTTGTGCGATAAAAATCACTGCTACAGCTTCGTAAAGAGCGCATCCATCCTTAATACTATGCATTGCATCAACTGTGAAGCTTCTAGATAACAAAGGTTCAATTATTGCAAAAAAGAGGATAAGAGGTGTTAGATAATTAGGAAGAAAAATTTTCGCATATTTTCACTTTTTTCTTTAAAAAAGAAATTACCTACAACTTTGATTTGTAATCTGCTATTAACGCAGATATGTCCTTCATTGGTGGCGAAGACTGTTGCTATCTAATAGCGCTATGGTGTGTTAGATTTTAAGATTAGAGTAGGTTTCTTCTAGAAAATCGACCAATTTTCTCAGCAGAAGGCATGCTTTTCTTGACATCGGCCGGTTACGTACCATGTTGATATTCGCTCCAAGTGGCAGAACAAATCGTGTCACGCGTTCATCCACACCGCCTTCTTCCTCCATTCCATTGATGGACAGTGGTAAAGCAGCTCCACTTAAAACAATAGGTGCTAGAAAAATAGCAATAAACGAACCAAACGACATACAGGCATGAAATGCATATAATAATCTCTAAAATAATATATAGTAGGCATGAATTAATCTTCACTATTAAACTTTGATAACGACGACTGAACTGCATAACTCCTTCTTTTGGAGAGAGATAAAGGCAAGACGTAGTTATGATAACAAAAATTGGAGGACTCACGACGATGCCGTGCCCAGGGCTACGATACCTGCCTGGCGCATGCATTTGAAGATCTTGATTGGGTTCTTTCTTGTGAGCAAAACATACAAAACTGGTATTATTATGAATGAATGTATCAGCAGTCCGATGAGTATTGTGAAAACGTACCTAAATATATTTTGTAGGAAGTTGATAGGTAAATTGCAACAGTGCGGAAACACAACCCTATGCACTTTGTGGGTGATATTGCCTGAATTTCGCCCATCCCTATCAGATTGGTTTTGATGGGTGACAACAGCAAACGCTAGAATGCTGCACTGCCTATTTGTCTGTCCGTCTGCAAAATGAAATGAGTGGCAAGGCAGCTCATGGAATAAATAACCCGCTAACAAATCTGGTACTCGTAGGCCTGAGCCTACCATGTTAACAGTGATTGTGATAACACCCAACCCAAATGGCTATATAAACACCTACTTGGCACATTTTTGGTCATTCCAGAAGGTGCAGCAGTGGCAGCTGGAGAGCAGTGGAGAGAACAGTAGAAGCGCAAAACTTACGCAGGGAAGGGAGGTTCCGGCGGTTGCCGGGCACCATTCTGGTCTCGTATTGAAATCCGCTATTCATTTTTCTCCATTTTGATCTCCCCTTTCCTTCGCTGAGCTCTGCCGATTTTTTGTTTATCTGCGAACCGTCTAGACACCGTCATACTACCGACTACCATATTTATTGTAGTTCCGCCCACTGAGGTGTGCGCCCCGTCCACCATGAACATTTGACGGGATTGTAAGTTCACTTTTTCGGGAAACCCCACCTACTTTTGTACTTCCCGTCCATAAAATGCATTTATATTCCCATTCAGGGGCGGAAGTGGTGTAGTGGCAAGTGGCACGCTTACCACGCGAGCGGTCCGGGGATCAAATCCTGGGTCGTGAGTCGCCCGGGCCAACCAAGCCTTCCATCCCTCCGGGGTCGGTTAATTGGTACCAGACTTGTCTGGGAGGATAAAAACACTGACTTATTGTATAGGCCACATCGCATTCAAACGCCACTACGAATGTACAAATGGAAGTAGAATGCGTGCCGCATCCCAAAAAGGGATTGATCAACGGCAAATGCTTTATCCTTTATCTAGCCAGCTTTTATCCACTTTTCCCAAATCTTCGCACCTCACTGGACTGGAATTGAAGAGCTTGTAGAAACCTCCTAAGGGACATGATCCATCAGTCATTTTGGGCAGGCTCACACTTCGGACAGCTCAGACATTGTTCAGCTTCAGTAATTTCTGTCTGCTGCCGTCTTATAACGAGCAATGATTTTTTTCAATACGCTCTGCTCTGCTTCAAACGCCCCTCCCATCAGGTTTTTGGTGGATCTAAATCTAAGGTTGACCTCGCAACCCTATGTAAGCCGACTAGGGCAAACTCAGGCCAGACTTCGAGACCAGCTAATACTCAGCAGTGAGACGAATAACAGTCGGACTGTTCTTGATTCAAAGGACCTGGTGAAAGGTTACCTTTGTAAGGACTCTTGGTCAGTAGGGGTTTAGGGTTGTTGGGACGTGTGGTCGGGAAGCCATGAATTGCTCTGGTCATTTCAGGCACTGCAGCTGACAATTTCTTCAGAATTCAAGTCAATAAGAGTTATTCATCCGTAAGACTTGCAAAGAAGGAGTTAACTGATTGAATACTATTTGACTTATTTTATAAGTATTGAGGATGTGATCGGTTTGTACGGATTTCGTCCTCGTGACTTGGATAACTCTACCCACTGGGCTATCTCCGCGCCGTGCTCGAACTCACGATAAATGATTAGTAAACGTTTTGCAGTACTCACTTTGACATCGCTCCAGCTGCTAACCATATATCATTTAGTTCCAAGAGGCTGCCACATATCAAGCTGGTGATACCAATAGGCGAGAACCTTCAGACACATTTGTTATAACATTTTCCAGACTCTTTTAAATACTTAAGGGCACTTTACCACATCACCGATAACATTAGTTTCATGATAATTTTGTCCAGTGCCATGAAGAAGTCCACAAGTACTCGGACCTTTTCGGCATAATAAGACGTCACGATGCCAAATCCAATGCAGAACACAATTATACCTGAAACAAGCCTTTTTCACGTACACAACGAAGCAAATATTCTTTGTGAGGACGACCATGGCATGACGAAGGGACATAGCGCTACGAGGAGGAAGGAAGCAGCGAGAGGAACAGTCATACGCAGAGGCGCAGCGCAAGGTCACCGGGATTGATCTAGAATGGCGCGTTGCAGCGGTCGAACAAGGCACTTAGCTCTTTTGTGCGCCGCTTCATTGCCAGTACCACCACTCCCATGATTAAAGGTCTCTGCTGGCCTCGCATTAACCGACGAATTCCACTGCCAGTCTAATCGCGAGCTGTGCTCAGGTAGGAAGAAAGCCGTCGTCAACTAAAACACTATCAACAATACTTTTGGAAGAGGCAAGTAATTGCATTTTTGCAACTTCCATCCTTCTCCGAAAGAAAAGGAAAATGGAGCGAAAAAGTCCTACCTATTATGTTCATTCCACGTTGCTCCGAAACCTCCTTTTTGATTTCCTGCACGGTGCCATTACCATGAGCAATCTGGACTTCTCCTTTGAATCGTTTGTGAGTTCAAATGAAGCACGAATGATATTGTCTGGGAACATATTTCTGGAAAACACTGCAAAGTCGCATCGAAGATTTGATAAGAGAACAACTTTTGGTTTGTTTGGTTTCGAAGTTTACTCCCCGAACAGTTTGCAATGCGAAAGTTTACCCAGGGAAACGCACCCATGGGTAGGATCTTTCCAGCCAGGAATCGAACCTAGCGCAACCTACCAGGTCATGCTTGAGTAAACTCATTTTTAAGTGAAAAATGATTACAGCTTACCAGCAGTGGCAACCCCTGCTCCAAATTTTAACATGGTTGCTGCTGCGCAATGAGCACTGCCACTTGGAGCTATGAGACAAAGCTTTAGTTCGCAGATTTTCGCAGAACTGACGTTTATCGTAACAGTCCGCAATGCGAAAGTTTACCCAATAACGCAGAGCTGTGGACAGAATCGGGCCTGCGGCTAGACGCGACTGGACAGCATTGGAAAAGAGGATGTCGGAGTTTTCACGAAGGCTGCCCTTGTCCCACTGCAGCTGGAGGTATGTACGAGAAAAGCGACTGTGATTTTGTGGACACCTTTGGAAAGGAAGAAGATCACCCGATAGAAAATCGATGGAATTAGAAGCGCCAGGTAGGCGACCACGAGGAGTCTCAAAGAACAGTTGGAGAAACTTCATGAAGAAGGACTTCAACGAAGTCAAAAACGCTGCAGAAAATGATTGATACAGGGCGCAGTGGCGTCGCACGGTAACGCTCAAGAGACTCACCAGAACGGTTTTCCGGCACAGTTTTTTCTCACCAAACGATTCCTTTAAGAGGATTCCACGATAAGAAAAAAGGTCGAAGAAGGGGAAAATTACCTAGTGGAGACAGGTGGACCCCTAAGGAGCGGACCGACACGCAATTCGCAGCGAAGGATATGCCCCGGCGATCTAGCATGGCCCTCCCGCGGCGCTACGCCCATCGACTGACTAACCACTTCCCACAGGTTTCTAGCCTTTAGCAGAAAAAGCATTAGCGTTGAAGAGGGCAGCACCGATGAGAGTTGCATCATTGCGGAAGGATACCATTTTCTGGATTCTGGCCGTGGATTCTGGCCGTTTCTCATGGTTTTTTTTCCATCCCGGCACCACTGACCACCTCTAGTACCTTGGTTCTAGTGGGTTGCTTTTTAACCACGAACATCGCCTTTAACGATAGGGAGAAAAAAGGAGAGGAAGATGGAAAAAAGCGGCGGGTTCTGTTCATAATTCTGCAATCTGGTGGTAACAGTACAATCAACGACGAAAATGTGAGACAAGAAAATTATAGATAAGAGATAAATGGTAGTTAAAAAGGGAGGAGAAAACTAGTCGGAAGGTATGACATACGGTTTTTTGAGAAACAATTGGGTCGACTACTTAAACCGATCATCGCTCGGAACAAATACGGAGCATGCTTCTATTCATAAAAACGTACCGAATGAGATCCAAGATAGTATCCACCGCAGAAATTTTGTGTGTGTCCCCTACGGGTAGTCCAGAACTCAATCTCGGATCCCCTGGATGGATCATCAAAACGAGGAATATGCCCAACTGAAAAAATGGTATAGCGTTCGCGGTAACTTGCAGCTTTTCAAGCCACTAGAAGTCATATATTTCTACACAAAGTCTAGTTAAAGTAACAAGAATGGTTGCTATTACGCGATCCTCCTCAAATAGTGCAACAAATTTCGCTTGCTTTTTCTGCTGCCAGAAACCGATTTTTTTAAACGGACAGTAATACTATCTTCTCATGCATCCAAATAAGCGAACTCTACGGCTCCTCGAGAGCTCCCCCAAAATTGCACCTGAACCTGCTGAGCTGTTATTCCCTCTGACCGAGACGGTACATCTTCGAACAAAGGTCGCCCATCTGTTGAACTTCACAATCTACAGCCTGCCGTGAACAGGAGAGAATAACAAATCAAGGCCGACCTCGCAATGGCCATCCCGTGGCAGTTGCTCCTTTCTATTTCAGGAGAACTGTGAGAAAAGTAGTCGACCGCAATTTCCGCTTCCTTGATGAGGATGACCGAGAGATTAGAGTTTTCCATGGGCTAAAAAGAGGCGTTCAGCAGATGAACGCGCTGACAGATGAGATGATTTCTGCAGCATTACAGCTTTTACAGCTATAATTTTTGCAACTGATGAAAGCTACAACCCACGAGGACTATCCGGTTTTGAGCTGAAGCCATGATTTGAGCTTGATTTTTACCAGTGTTCAATTGCCGAAGGTTGTTTCAGCAGGCCTCAATTTCAAGGTCTCAGGCCATGGGGAGGAATCGTAAGCTTCTAATGCGACGGCGCTACTACAAAGAGGTCGAAAAGTGCTCAACTGATGTAGTGACATCTTCGGACTTCATATCCTTGGACGAATGCCTCATCTGTCCTTCGATCTGAACCTGGTGGAGCCTTCTTCTGGGTCATGATAGAGATGTAATATAATACATCAAAAATCGCACCTACATGACGAAACTCGTACCCTCTCCCTGCAAACTTTGGAAGAGTATACCCAGGGGGAATATATGAAGGATCGCACTCAAGATGACTGACGGCCAACGATACAAGGGAAACATCGGGTTAACGTCATCGACCGGAATACGTAATTGTTAAAGCAGCAGTCCCAGCTTGGTTCAACCATTCGACCTTAAAGGGTGGAAACAAACACTAGCCCTAGTCAAGACATAGGAAATGTCACTGATTTGAAGACTGACCTTTGAAAGGCTTTGGAAGGGAGTCTAAGACCGACGTCATACTTTGCGAATCGCTGGATCCGAGCGTTGCGCCAGCGAATCGAACGTTGCACCAGCGAATCGAACTTTGCACCAGCGAGTCGAACGATGTACCAGCGACTCAATAGTGGCGGGACCCAACGTTCAAAGGAAGCCCGCCACTTTCAAACAGTGTCACGTGACAGTGGACCCTTTTTGAAAGTGGCGGGACTTGACAGTGGACACTGTTTGAAAGTGGCGGGCTTCCTTTGAACGTTGGGTCCCGCCACTATTGAGTCGCTGGTACATCGTTCGATTCGCTGGTGCAACGCTCGAATCCAGCGATTCGCTAGCGAAATGGGCGGGTCCACCGAGCCTCGGTACGGCCGCCCACTTGCAGCTGTAGAGAGCGCGTGCTTGGATGCGGGTCCTTGCGCGATTGCTTGTAACTATCCCGCGTTTCGAAATCAATGCTGCGTCTTTTGATTGGTTTTACTTGTTTAAATCATTGAATTATTGTATCGTTTTGTTAACTGTTGCACATGTCTCTGTTTGTATTAGGGCAAATGCATTGCAGCCACAATGCAAGCCAATTCAGACAACTCGTCCGACCGCCCCTCCCCTCAAATCAAAGAAGAAGAGGGGAAGCCCCTATTCGAGAATTCGCCGGCCTTTTTATTCGCTTTTTTCCTATTAGCGGTCAATTCGCCATCTACAACATCATTATCG